AAAAACGAAATTGGCGATGCTCGCTTTCTAGCCCCTCTTATCAGCTATTATCAGTCGTTATCAGTTCCTATCACGTACCACTTGTGTCCCCATCCCACCCCCTATAACATATGTAAGAACCACTGCGCTATCGTTACTGTGACTCGAGCTATGAATTTCCGTTCAAACATACACACACACACACACACACACACCAACAGACACACGCTAGCCGCTTATATATAGTAGGATTTTGTGTAAATTCTTCGTGTATACGTGGATTCTTCAATATTTCATCATTCGTGTACGCTTAGCTGTATTGCCGTCAATCTTGTAGTCTTGTAAATAATCACTACTTTCGACTGGGAAGTTGGGCGGGTTCGCCCTTCAATTACTTCGTGCCCATATTTGATGATATTATTCAAGATGGCATGGATGTGCGTGGAGAATCTGTGATGTTTAGCAACAGTGAAAAGACAAAAACATTCATCACAGAATTAAAGGACTGGCCAGTCACCTGTAGGTCCCGCAGACGAAACTCTGCTGGGAGCCCCAACATTCAACATCGCGGGTCGGGGACCCCAGCCCCTACCTAACCATTCAGCATACGGCCCCTTGTAGACTAAGCCTTGGAGGAACAGATAGGGCTGCCCCCCCCCCCCCCGAACGGAGTTTCAACAAATATTGTGCTCATCGTTCCACATCAGCTACTGCATCTGGCAATAGAAGGTAGATAACTTGCGAAGAAAGAAGTGGCGTTCAGTGACGTTTCGTTGGAAATTACGTGCCGTTGATGAGAGCGTTTGTTTTCCTCGGCGCAGCTTTCCATTCGAGCCTTCATTTCTCCGTGGTTACGGAACAATGTGGATGGATTTTATGATTTCTCTCAGCCAGTAAAAACTGTTGATTTACACCCTCATAACATTCGTGCTTTGACTTCTCTTGGAACGCTTGCTAGGAAACGAGTTTGTTCATTATTATTTCTTAATCCATCATAAGGGTTCATCTAGTAGTGGGAACATGAGGTGCGGCAGTTCTTGCTGGCCAAAAAAACTTCCATTTTTGCAAAGGGAATGAATCACCGGGTGAGTGAAGTTGCCTTCGTAATAACTTCGTATAGCATACATTATACGAAGTTATACGACTGGTCAGCATACTCATCGTCATAGTCCTTTGTTGTGATTGATGACTCCATTATTAGGTTCGGCGACTTTTTGGGAAGTTGATTGATGTTTGATTTTGCAGTTTTAGAAGAGGAACGCCATGGCAGGGTAACGATGTCGCCACTCTTTTTGTTACTCGCATCCATGTCGTTGGTGTTTGGGAATGTGCTGAGTGCTGGCATCTTCACGGAAACGGCTTGTATTTGACCAAAAAACGTAAGCTACTTCTTCTCTTGTTCTTTTCGGTTTCTGATAACTGCATTTGGAGGGGAGATGTTCGTTGCTCCTTCAACCCTTTTTGTATATTTTACTAGGCATCTTCCAATATCGCGCTTTACCACCGTTGAATTACTCAGTAATTGTGATTTATCAGTGTAAGAAATAGTTTTACTATGTCGATCATCGTCCGTGCTGCTGCTTTGCTGTGTTGTCTCTTTAATTCGAATATACACATAGCGATGGTGCAGGCGCAAGATTACATGATCGATACATATCAGTTCCACACTCAACGTGCTCACTAAATGCAAGCATTTGAATGGCTCAACCGCAGCCTTAACTCTTAGTTCCCATTAACTGCCTGCTCAGTGTTATGAGAATCATTCTTTTTCAGTACCAGATGATTGACTTTGCATAATCCGCTTCGAAGCAGACACAAATCGAAATACGGCTTGCATGTGTGAATGAGAACGCGGATATGGAATTCCAAGTCAGTTGCTAAGCTTTTGTTTTATTCTTTTTTCACTTTGCGCATTGCGTTTCCTTCGTACAGCACATAATGGAACAACTTCAGGTCCAGGTGCCCCGATCAGGTGATAAATGAATTTGACTTTATAAATATGAATGTCGGTATGATACACTGCCTAATGAAATATTCTGTATATTTCATATTGATCGTGTATTATATATCAAGCATCGGTAGGTTTCATATTGTTGTCTCACTTCGTGACTCGTCTATTTTTAATATTGTTATGTGATGGACATAAATTACTCTCTCTCTTGGTGTCAGTTCTCTCGGAAGTGTGATTTTGTCTGTAAGTGAGCCTGACGATTTATTCCGCCCTGTGATCGTGTAATAAAGGCTCTATGTTTAACTGTCCGTTTCACTGTTAGCTTTGATTCTGTCTTCATTGTTTGTCTGGTGTTTACTCAACTCCTCACTTTTTGTAACCTGCTAATTGTATCATCAAGGTGATCATCTCTCACTTATTAGTTTATTTTAATAGCGCCACATTCGTCATATCTCAGATAGTTGTTCATGTACAAACATTCATGTTTGGTTTGACGTGGATTTTAATGTAGATGATTAAATAAATAATGATGAATGAATAGAAAGTGTTTGTTTGGTTTGTAGAAGGAACACAGAGAACATGCCATAAGGTGAGATGGGCTGGAGGATTTGGAAAAGATTGGGAGCTCACATTGAGGTGGAGTACACAGGTTTCAGCATGATTGCGAGAGGAGATCAAGGACACAATGTGACCTGGCAATGGTCGATGACGTGGAACAAACATGGGCACAGTGTTTTTCTGGGTTTGACATCGGCTTGTCTTTTTTTCGTTAGGCTCCACTCTACATTACTTCACCTTTCGTTGGTTCAGGACTGTATATCAATATGAAGAAGACGTGCGCTCTGTGTGGCTTGAATGCCAGTGCTGAGACGATGAGGCACTCCACTGGCAGAAAACAAAACGTAATAATGACAGCCTCACTGGCATTATTTGGGCGTGATGATAAAATATCCGTCGATGAAGTGGTGGCACGCATCACAAATAACAACAAATTTATTTGCAGCAAACACCTTGTGGAAGCTGTAAGTTGACATCACCAAGCCTTACTACATATTTCTATGACAGTCGGGAAAGTCTGGCCGATTTTCATCCCTTCTTTTGTAGTTCGTCCAATTTGTTAACAATAAGCAACATTCAATTATCAGATATGTGTCGCCTCCGTTTTACACAAGGTGTTACTTTCAAGCGGACACCATGTGGATGAGAGCTATATGGCAGTCTGTTATGGCCTAGTCAGCTTAACACATTGTGTTTGTCATAAAAAATTCTCATGAGGGTCTTGTAGGGTATTGCTAGTCTCCCGATAGCGAATAATTGCAATACTATGGTCAATACTGTTCTCAAAATTGCTCTGAAAAGAGTAAGAACCAGCGTTAAGGCACGTTCCACAGTGGATCTTCCAAAAAGATCCCTGAAATTTGCAACACAGATGGGAATGGCCAAAGACTTACCTGAGAATGTTATGATTCGTTACAGTAAATCCCTACAATGTGAGTGTTTCGTGTTCCATTCGGTGTCATGTCATGTTCGGTTCAGGACTTAATTTGGTGAAACTCGGGTTCGGGGGGTGGGGGAGCACGCGATATCGCAGCACTGTTTTCGTCTGCTACTCAAGGCTTAGTCCCCGATGGCGCGTTTTTCGATACTGCCACGGGACACTGGCGAAACAGTAGCGGCTCCTGTGACTAAGCCTTGGAGGAGGAGAGGAAAGCAGTCCCGCGCCATCGCGTGCCCCCCTCCAAACCCGAGTTTAAGCCTTAATTTTGCTTTATTTCCTCTTTCAGCTCAATCATACATGTTGCCAGACGTTTTTTTTAAATTTTAGGTGCTGTTGTGCCGGTCTTTCGTTCAGATTTTATCTGTTGCTTCGAAGAATGCAGAAACATAGATGAACCTTGGATTAGAAAGCATCACCTGTGGAGGTGTTGATTTCGCAAAGTTTGCTTCCGAACACGCCGAAGACCGCAGGCTACGGATGCGCTGCTAAGTGTACTTTCCGCATAATTTTCACGGTAAATCTTCTGCACCTTTATTTTATATTTCGTTTGAGACTGAATTATTCAGCTTGCTTACGATTGGCGGAGAAATGTTTGAACATGTGTATCGCTTAGGAAAAAGCTCTGTTCTTGAAAGAACGTATCCGCTTCGCGAATAGTCATTACAGGTGCTTTTTTTCGTTTCCTACGTTATCTGTGATTTCCACTGCAAGAAAAGCAGGAGTGTGGTCCACTAGGATAGAAAACGGCTGCTTCACGTTTCTCAGCGCGAAGCGTTGTTCATTACAGGAACCTTAGGTCTTGCGCTGATCATAGGTGGACCGAGGGTCCCGAGCAGAAATTATTAGTGGACCTGAGGAATCCTTGGCAATTGAGATACAAGTTTCTGGCTCGTCGGCGAAACATGAAGCATACAAATGCGAATGCTCCTCCCGCGATATCCTCCGGACGTCCCCGGTGCACGTGCAAACTGTGTTTAAAGGTTGATTTTTAGGTAGATATTGACTGCTGGTGAGGTTGCGGAACTTTCTTTGTCTTTGCCTTCATATCATCGAAGTATTGTTTAGTGATGACCCCACTTCCTTTTCCTCCTGGAAAACACTTTGTGTTGTGTTCTACGTTTCACTCGAGTGTGCTGGTTTCCTGCACGGGTTGGGCTATGATGTGACGGTGAGTACAGCTACGAAAGTGATTGTTTCGTGATTTTTTTTTATTATTTTGTTCCAGGTTATGGTCAGGTTCATTCTTTTGATCAAGACATGGCAGAACGAATCAGAGCACATATGTAAGAAATTGGAAATCGAAAAGTGAGTGTTTGATAGAAACTTTTGTACCCTTCTCACTTCGATTTCGCGGAGAGTGTCGCTGATCTGTGGAGGCCAGAGGTTGAGGCTTCCAAGGTCTCTCGTGAAGTCTTTTTTTTTGAACTTCAACCCACGAAACGCTTGTGTTTTGACAAAACCTCATTCGATTTTTTTCCCTGTTTCGATTGAATTGGAGACCATTTTCGATGTTGTCTCTAGCTTTGTTTCGCAACAGAAATGGTGGAAGCAAAATCGAAGACAATTGGAGGAAGATTTTTTACATTGTATTTATTTTACTGGTCATGAATTCTCTCTTTTAGCGCTGTCCCGACTCGAATAGAAGAGATAGAGCCCAAGACCAAGACAAAAGCTGGACGAATTCGTGTGCACTTTGCGATAAAAGTGTGCGTGGATACTTCGTATAATCTGTAAGTATGTCTAAAGTGATATAGGTAATACCGTGATTTGTCTCCCTCATTTTTTTGTTGCAAGGGTGTGGTTTTGCCTATAGACTTTTTCTACGTTTGCATTCGCGGAATTATCTTTCGCTACGGAATCTCCATGCTCACTAATGACCATGAGCGGAGCTGAGTTTCTTGCAGCGAAAGATCTTTCGCACTGCGAAAATGAAAAAGTGTATAGCAAACCACATCCGATTCTTCAACATGTGTGATTCACTGACTGAAAACATACATAAATTATTTTATCACATGATTTATCACTTCTAGGGTAACCGCTAAACTGGACAATCGAACCATGTCAGGACGGTGGATTCGTTCACCTTGACTTGATCGTTTGGAATACCAGGAAGTATGCTTTCAGTTTTGTTTTTAATATTTTTAAGTCATAACTCCTACCTACAGATTCACGAACGAAGTAGACTGCGGCCAATTCGGTATTAACATGCCGATCCCTTTCTTCTACCCATGTTCTACACCACCGGGTCACGTGGTTCGTTCAGAGGAGACTTGAACCTTTACGGAAAAGTGAGTTTTATTAGCTGCAGCGCCCTATGAAAGCAATAGAGATTACCGAAAATTTTCCAGGCTGGAGTTCAATTCTACACACAATGCAAGACCATCACTCAAAACTGGGCGAGTATCTAGCAGATATGAGGCGTCAAATGTCTTACTCTCAGCACAAGTAGATGTAATCTACATTTGAAACATAGTGTGACAGTGTTATTTTAACAATTCTTAAAGTCTTATTCAAATCATTTGTTTTGTCATATTGTTATAACTGTATGTGACATTTACAAATGCACCTCAGGTCGTGTCAATAAAAACACACAACGATTTAAATCACAACTATTTATAAATCCCAATAAAATCTGGTTAATTTGATGTGTAGTAGTTTTCACACTATATTGAGCAAACGCTGGCAAAGGGATAGTGTTAAAACGGAACAAACTCAAGTGAATGCCACTTCAAGACTTCAATTACTAGCGAGTACATAGCATAGTGTTTATGATTGAAGAATTGTCGAGTTACAGAAGAAATACCGGCACCACATAGAAGATGCTCTTTGAATTTGTACAGCAAAAAAGTGACAATTTATTGGTCACAAAATAGTACCACGGAAGGACTTCAGCTAACGTGCGCGCGCTCCTGGTTCTCCGAACATTCGTTTCTGTGCGACAATGGTCAGCAACAAGTAGCGATTCATAGTATACGAAGAAAAGATTCTTCCACTCTTCTCGCTCTGTTAGTCCGCATACGTGTAATAATATGCAACCTAGAACAAAATGAACAGTGTTAGAAAATAAATGCACAATCATCAAAACAAAGACGGGAATGATGACATGACAAATACCCGACTTCAATGAAAACCTCACCTTTGAGAGCTTGTCATGCAGCACAGTTCTATGCATATGACCTCAACCGCTAACCAAACGGGAAATTTCCTGCAAAAAAACTTACATAATATAAAGAGGACGTGATTAAACTCCACAAGTCGAACACGTAAATAAAATTTTGAGACTTTGGAACTGTAATAGTAGAATAGTGCCTGAAACTCTATGCAAATTAGCGTCTTTATATTGCTATAATATACGCTATCGGCCATTTACACAAGTTGCACCACTTCAAAGATGAAAAATGAAAGTCGCAACAATCCAAAGTCCACAATACAATCGAAAGCGTTCCATGATCATGCGAGGATTGAAATTTAACACGAAAAGAACAATCGAAGAAGGAAAAGAGAATGAGACCAGGCAGGAAGGTGGTAATCAGCTGAGAATTTCCGGCATCATCGATCTATGACCTGGATTTAGCACAGCTGGCATGGTGCCAGCAATGACGGACAACTCGTCCGGGGACGTTGTTTCTTTAACCCAGGCTTGTAGACTGTTAAGGAAGTAGGGGATCCCATTTTGAGCTTGTTAGACGTTTTTTCGTTCTTTCTTTTTGTATGTCGACTCAATTGGCGTCCAGTAGTTCAAATACGGTCAGAAAAATCTTGAGTCCAATCCCGAATTTTGCCTTTAATTTCCAGTACGGACAGTCCACTTGCGTTCTTAGTGGAGAGACTGTGAACTCTGGATGAAGAGCGGAGCCCTTCCATACAAAATTCGCGGAAGATACCTTTAGGATACCGTGCGGGCCGCAGCATCACCGGGAATCAAACACCAGAGCGGTGTGAGGGCAACATAAGTATATAAAATAATATGAGTCAGGTTATCTTGATGTGGGCATATTTTGATAACGACTGAGTTAAATCAAACTTCTGAATCCGGGAAAAGCATTGTTGCGATAGTTTGGACCCCATTTTCTCATCTATTTTCCCTCATTCTTCTCTCTAATGAGGATATGGTCTTTCTATGGATACACACTGCATCTTCTTTTCTGGCAATCAGATCTTCCACCGGAACTTCACCTTCCTCGAAGGGGGCCACCTAGACCGAAACCTCGCCCTGAGCTCAGGCGTGTAGACAGCAGGGCTAATCAACAAACGATAAAGATAAAAGGTATGAAGTTTTACAAATCGAGGTGATAGCGGCGGGCAACGCTAAGAACAAACGGAATATTTACTAGCAGCTGCACAAAGGTGCTATCTACGGGTTCTTCCTTCTAGTGCTTGCCCTTTTGGGATGACACAATTTCTTGTTATGCCAAGAACTTTCGCTGTTATTTCCGTGACTGAGTATTCACTCGACGTGCCTAGATCTCTACCACGGCTTTCTAAGGTGCCTGGTATGGTAACCAGAATGAACCAAACAGTCGATCTATTGGTTGGAAAGAAAGTTCCTTAACATTTGTAGCTCAATTTTTGAATTTTTTTTATTCTTTATTTATTCAATGATCCATAACATATTGGCCATCGAACCACGCATACGCCACATTATACGAAGGTGACACGCGCAGAAATTAGAAATTAGGAAGATTTTTGCCAAACAACCTTCTGGTGTCGGATTTGCGCTCGTTTACGTCGTCGAGCTTCCTGTTCTCCAGGTAATGAGCAAGCGAGCAGGAAAGGTTGAAGAGGTGTATAGATAGGTTTGACGAATATGGCAGACGGGCAGCCGCGGTCCTGCCTGGCTTCAGAGTCTTGTGGCTTGAGACCGAACACCCGCGACGTTGCGCGTTGTCGTGAAGCAGGTTGACTTGTCGCTATATTCGGCGAAGCTCTTCTGCAATCTTTTCGAGCAGCTAGCATTGTGAAGCCCTTGTACTCGTCAATCCTCCAGACAGATCATCACCCGTGGGAAATACCGTCAAACGTCAAAATGGGCAGTAGTCGTGTGTTGCGTCAGAAAGATCAAAGTCTTCGCTGCGGAGCGTTTAAACCAAGCCGAAACCGCCATGTGAGAGAACGTGCCCAGGCCTATCCCGGGACTGATCCTGACCACCTCTGGTGGGCAGATCTCTCTAGGCGGAGCTCTTACGATGCAAACGCCAGTATTGGCGGGAAAGCTGATTTGATCACCGTACGTAGCACGGTCCACTCCTACTATATACCACCCATGGAAGATTCCAGAGCATTCGGGAGAAATCCAGAAAGAGCGCGAATTGAGTGTTAAGGAACTTTCCTTCCAACCTATAGTTGGCCAGATTGAAATGTCGTTTTCGATCATCAATTATTTTCATTATAAAAACAATAATGAAGCACATCAACCTGAACCATTCCTTCACCTGTGTCACAGGCTCATCACCTTTTGTTACGCAAAGCATGGATGCCTACCGCGTAGAACTCTTTCTGGTTCGACTCGAAGAAGTTGGGCACTCAAATTTTGACGTCGTCGCGGTTATCGAATTGGTTTGCTGCTAAGGAGTGTTGCGCTGACCTGGGTCAGTGATAGTCGGACGGCGCCAGACCTGGGCTATATGGCGCTGGAGGTAGAACGTCCCAGCCCAACTCCTCGATTTCTTGTTGCGTGATTTTCACGACATGTGGTCTTCCGTTATTGTGCAATAGTTTTTGGCCGAATTCACCCCTTGAAGATGCAGCTTGGCCCATGCGGTGGAGCTGTTATACGCAGAGTTCAGCTGTAACTGTCTGACCCACAATCAGCTCTCCATAGTAAGCCAGTCTTATACTGTTTCACCACACGTAGCAAGACTTTTTCTCGTGGATGTCCAATTTCGAAGTCATCCTCAGCTGTCCATCTGCTGCCAACCACGGCCATCTTCTCACTTTGTTATCGGGGAACATCCTTTGTAAAAGTGCGCTTCAACGAAGTCGAGAACCTTCTTCTTCTTGGAGTTATGCAGCAGAGTTCAAGTATTGGCAACCAGTACTGCTTGCTCGTGTCGCTCAGAACCCATTTTATCCTGAAAGGCCTTAACAGTCGCACGTAGGAACTTTTAAATTTTTCTGTTGACACAACTGAATCTCCATGCAAGTTTTGTGCGGTTTGTCGAGGACTCAATTCGTTGGCTTTCTTTATTTCTCCGTCATAGAGCTAGAGGTCAAAATCCACGACCTTCGTCGCCAGGTCCTTTACCTCAGTCTTGGAAGAGCTGAAACCATAGCTGAAAGTGCATCAGAGACTAAGTGTTACTGCTCAATGTTTTGCACACAATGAGTGGGATTCGTTGGCCGTTTTTCCTTGCTTGAATATATACGCTCAGACGATGATTTCTGATCAGTCATCTTCGAGCAAAAGTTTTGGCTCGAAGAACATCCGCTCAGTGGCGCCTAAGATTTCGCAATATGCGTGCTGAATCGCTCTCTCGAATGAATGGTCTCCCATCCTAAGAGATTGTGTTTAAGCTGAGAAACAAAGGCACAAACGGAAGCGACATTTCAATTTTGCAAACCTAATAAATTCGCTGCGTAGAATCGATGCACATTGTGGTACATGTCATTCGACTGGGAAAAATAACCAAAGTGTGGGTCCAATATCCTCAGAAAAGACCTTGACTAGCGATATAATGCCTTTACTTTACATTTCACTTAAACATTTTTTCAGACACGGCGGAAGCAGTGCAGTGTGAGAAGTGACGCTGCCTAATACGCGCATGATCCGGGGATCGAACCTGTATTGGACGCTCATCCAGTCCTCTGGTACGAACACTGACGAAGCCTTCTATTTCAACATTTTCGACCAATTCCCAGCATTTGCCCTCCAATCCATGCCCACTTTTCACTTTTTTTCCCTTTTCACGTGCCAGATGACGAAATCTCAATTGTGGGGCTTGTTGACCTTAGAGGAAGACTCGACGATAAGGACGAAGATCTAAGGAAGGGAACTTTCTGATGTTGAGATAGGTGACATCCTGAGGGGACCGACACGCAATTCGCATCGAAGGATATGCCTCGCCTACCCAGCATGAATTTCGCTGCGCTATTGACGCGGCACGCCCACCGACTGCTCTCTCGCCGCGGCTCCAAGCCGTGAAGTTTGAAAGTGGCAGCATGCTATAGAGTCGCACCTTAGTGAAGGAATCGGTAGGCCTCTGAGTCCATTTTCGGTCTGGGCGCTTTGCTCATTACTCTTCATCCTAGCACCACCGACCATCCCTACCTTAATT